TTGATGGGGTGTAGTAAAGCGTTTCCCAATTTTCCCCACAGAATCTGCATACACCGTTGTTTCTTAGCTTTAATTTACTGAGGTGTTCGTTGAGGAGATCTGAGTCTCCTGCTAAAAGCCTCCTGACAATTGTTATTACGTAAGTCAAGGTAAATCTTTGATTTTTCTCGGTCGTAAGTTCCAAGAAATTACTTCGAGTGTCTTAGGCCGTTGGAGAATTCCCATTCCAGGTTACGGATGGAGTCTTCCAGGTTCTTGAGTTCCGCTTTAAGTAACTTGTGTTTCATTGATCCCAGGAAACTGTCAGTCAGTCACCAAAAAACAAAAATCTATATAGATCTCGTACTACATATTAATCTATAAAACTATTTTTAAGCAAGAATAATTTATAATACTATATAATAATAATAATTTATACAAGAACCATAAAACACATTTATCTGATTTATTTAAAAGTTTTTCTATCCAAAATCCGAAATATAAACCGTTTTCTAAGAACAACAAAGAAGATCATTAAAAATAGATTTGCATATATGTAATTGTAATATACGTTTATGTACGAACAAATTTATATTTAACATCATTCATATATTATCAATAATTTTTAATAAACAGGACTTTCTCCGATAATAATAATAAATTTTGAATATTCTGGTTTGGTTTGGTTTCGGTGATTTGCTGATATTGTACAGTTAACGGCCTTTTTATAAATACCGGTCCTGGCATAAACTTAAAAGAAAATTAGCCATCTTTAACTTAAAACCTTGAAATAAAAGACTTCGAAAAAAAAAAGAAAATTCAATGCGAACAGCTGCAGATATACAGAAAGTTTCAAAACAAGTATACTTTAAATTAATTTGTTTTGAATTTTAATTTATATGTTTCAATTCAATCCAGCCATTCATATATGCCTATAATTTTTTTATTATTTCATAATAAAAAGTATGGCTATTTTTGTACTTATCGAATACAGGGTCCGGCAATAGTGCGTCGGGCATCTGTAGCTCCTATAATAAAAAAACTTAGGAATTTTGGATAAGTGCAAACCAGGATGTATTTCAAGAAAATATTTTCACTTCTACAGGGTGGCTCAAAAAAAAAGAGTGGATCAAAATGGATTTTTTAAATGGGACACCCCGTATAATATAGCATGCATTTTTGACTTCCTTTCAGATCACTTTCCATAATCCTAAGATATGAGTAAATATATTTCGATAGTTTCAGATATATTAATAAATATACTGGGTGCGTCTCAAAGGTGGCTCACCCCTATAACTTTTTTATCTTTTTAGTTAAAAAAACGAGATTTGGTATGTTAGCATATGTCATAAATTAGGATTGATTGACATATACATAAATTAGGATTGATTGACATATTCAATTGTTTTCGGTCACTTCCGGTTTCACCGGAAATGACTACAACTTTTGATTTTTAAATAGCACCCTCGGTATTTTTTTACTTTATTCGAAAGAACATAACATTCTAAATAGAATGACATATCATATGTCAACTTTGACATTGTCCCATATGGTGTATTTGAAATTATAACTTGCCATTCGTAACGAAAATTTGACTCGAAATACCAAGTGTGTGTATCATGGTATCAAATTATTGGTAAAAAAATGCCTTTTCCAAATATGCTAATGAGCCACCCTCGTTCTGACCTTCTTTGGGGAGAGTTCAACCTCTCAGCTGTCATGGTATTGAGAGATTAAAAAAGTATCATAAATCATTTTTTTCAAATGGCAACCCACTTTTTTTATTTCACTAGTGAAAAGGGTTTTCAATTCGTTACTTTTTGAATATACATGTTCCTATACCTAAAATAAATCGTTTTTAAGTTATTTAAAATTTAGTTTTAAAGCGTATATTTTTCTTGATTTTAATAAGTAGCCTATGACTTTAAACGTCAAGTGATGTAAAACAATATATCTGGCCATGTCGTATTGTGACACTTTGTTCAAAAAGCAGTATGCTATCGATCATCATTTGCAAGCCAACTTTGCGTTGTTTTTTTTTCAGGGTTGATACAGTAAATTATTAATATAATTAATAATAGCAACTATTAGATATCACTAAGGAGCGAAAATACGAGATACATTTTTATAAATACACTTTTTGAACTTTTAAGGCAACAGTATTTACAATATAGGAAATTCAAATAATTTGTTTTCTGACAGATGGAAAAAAATTGTCTTACTTTTTGACACTTAATGTCAAAGGAAGCTAGATAAAATCAAGAAAAATATACGTTTTCAAACTAAATCTTAAATAACTTAAAAACGATTTATTTTTGGTATAGGAACATGTATAGTTAAAAAGTAACGAATTGTAAAATCTTTTAACTAGTGAAATAAAAAAAGTACTAAGTGAAATAAAAAACTAAAACTTTAACTAGTGAAATAAAAAAGTACCGCTATTATCATATGACATTTGAACAATTTCATTTTTGAAATAGATAGCTACATGTCTTCTCTTTATGTCACAGTAGCTATAGCAATCACTAAATTTGACTTTGTAGTTTTTTTCGTCCAAAAATTTTAAATATTTTTTTTTTAAAACGGTTAATGTTAGATATAGAGTGTTTAACATCAATATTCATAGAATTTTACAGAGAATGTAAGTATGTAATAAAAAATAGGGGCGGCCATTTAAAATAAGAAAGTTGTAGTCAACTTCCGGTATTTCCGGAAGTGCCTCCATATTGAAAATATTTTTAATCGATAGATCTCATTGTAAAACAATGATGTGCAAAAAATCTCCGATCTAGATACTGTGGTTCTCTAGAATCTTCTAATACACGCCCAACCTGTGACACCCTGTATACCGTATGATCGATAAAAACGGGAGTCAAAGACGACTAGGAAATGACAATCGATGGCAATTTTAGCGAGTTCAGTCTCTAGACATCATTCCCTAAAAATTGACATAAAACTTGTTAAAAGTAAACCACTAATTATAGAGAGATTTAAAAAGAATATAGAACATTCCCAGACAGCATATCTATTTCCAAAAAATTATTCTTCTCGAATCTTAAAGTACACCGTTTAAAAATAATGTTTGCTCAATATAAAAATAAAATAAAGACAGAGTTAATGACGTCTAGAGCTCGACCTATTCAAAATAATCATCTAGTGTCACTCCCCACGTCGTTCTTTTTTATCGTATGGTACTTATTGTCAGTAATAAAACTTGCTTCCTATAAAAAGAAATGTTTAATTACAAGCAATTTACGGGACCGAATTATGTGAATTTCATAAAATAATAATACTTTAGTGGTGGTAACGGTTAACTGTTAATGGTGATTTTTAATAATTGTTGATTAAAGGTGGGCATCGGAGGATGCATGGTTTGATGGGCATCATAAACGCACAACGGACTTTATGATTATTCTCAACCAAAGCGTAAAGAAAGATTGCTTCTAATAGATAAAGAAAAATTAATATGAGCTGCTACGCTTTACTATTCTCCATTTTCTTCGTAATTGTCCAGACATTGTCCAGCATAAAAAAAGCTGCCGAAAAGATATAACATTGTCATAAAAATTGTAAGATTATCCATGACATTGTATTTTAATTTTCAGTCTTTCTATACCTTAGTATCCTATATTTAATAATAATAATAATAATAAATAGTCTTTATTGTGATCCATAAGTATTACAAAAGGCGAAGTTGAAGCATTGCTTCCTATCTTAACCTATACATTTACAAAAAAACATATAATATACATTGCATAATCAATTCTATAAATTCATGGAGAAAGGAACCCTGCTACATTTTCCAAAAAAAAGAGCTACTATAAATTCAATTACAAAAAAAAGTACAGAGAAAACAGTCTCTTAAAGTTTACAATTGAACCGCTTACACCCAACGAGCACCAACCAAAAAAAAATAATAATAATAAATATAGATATGTGATATAATGTACTTATCAAGAAACGTGGCTTATTATCAGTCTTTTAGCTTCCAATCTGAAATTTTCAGGCGGGGGCGCTTTTTAAATTGATAGGGACATCATTGTAAAAAGCTGCTATGTTATAGCTAAATGACCTTTCAAAAAGGGTCATTTTATGCACAGGCGGTGTTAACAAGAATTTATGCCGGAGATCTAGATTGTGCGCCTCAAATCTAAATTTTATTTTTTGGTACAAGTATTCAGGTTGTTTTTTAAAGATGATTTTATTATAAAGGACTAGACTATGTAATCGTCTTCTCTCACTCATATCTAGCCACTTAATTTCTTTCAGTTTGGCGCTAATGCCTGTGTCGTATTTTCTCAACCCAGATATCATTCGCACACAATAATTTTGAATATACTGTATTCGCTTTTGGTCACGGGACAGTAAGCATGAACTGTAGAGCACGTCACAAAACGTGAGATGTGACAGAACAAGGCTGTCACAAAGCATTTTCTTCATGTTACTGTTCAGTCTACTCCGATATATTAATTTTAAATTCATGAACGCCTTCTTGATACAATTGTCATTATGCTTGGTAAACCTTAAACGATAATAACCCTAGGTTTTTTGCCACATGAGTACATTTCAACACTTCATTCTCCAGACTTATTTTGACAAAATTTTCATGTCTATCTCTGCATTGGGACTGTCCAAAAAGCAGGAGTTGGCATTTCTTTGGATTTAATTCCAGGGAGTGCGCCTTAGAAATATCACAGGGAGGGCCAAATCAGAGGATAATTTTTCATTTGCTACTAAAATTTCGCAAGGAGGGAAGGATAGGTACAATTGTGTGTCATCAGCATATAGATGAATAGAAGCATATTTTAAATTGCAGGTGAGCTGAGACGTGTATAGGGTAAATAGCAATGGCCCAAGTATGGAACCTTGAGGCACACCACTTGTAACGCATTTAGAGGTAGATTGTTGTCCTTGGATTTTTACTGCTTGACTTCTTCCAGTGAGATAACTTTTGATAAGTTTACAAGCATCGTTTTTAAATCCCAGGTGCTGCAAAATAGCCAGAAGTAATTCTTGGTGGTTTAATCTGTCGAAGGTCTTAGAATAGTCAAGCAAGACAAGTGTTGTTCACCACGATCCGCTGCTTGCAGTATGTCATCCGTCACCTTTAACAGAGCTGTGGCGCAGCTATAATCTCTGCGAAAACCGGACCGAAAAGAAGGTAATAAATTGTATTCATCAACATAATTTCTGATCTGTCCCTCCAGAATTCTTTCAACTATTTTGGACATATTGGGCAATATGCTTATAGGTCTAAGTTCCGATAGTTGAGTGGGCGATGCAACCTTAGGAATTGGTATAAAAAGGAAGTTTTCCAGATGCTCAGGAAAGAAGCCGTTTCAATGCAGTAGTTTACCAAGTGAACAATAAACGGAATACTGTAAGTTTATAATGTTGTTTCATTTTTTTTCATTGCCTTTACTCGCTGACGAGTATTGGACGCGCATTCTTTCATGAGCTTTTCTGTGACTGAAAGGTGATGTTATCTCTCTTCCTCACTCTGTACATATATCATTACTTCGTTGCCCCTTTACTTTTTGGTTGTCATTGTTAACTGAGTTTGCAATTCTTCTCTATTGCGTTCTATTGTGTGCTGATTCCTGATTCCTCCCACTGATTCTGCATGCTTATCCCCTTTAAGTTTTCGTGGAAAATAGAAAATATCCCTGAACCTTTTGAGTTGTCCACCTGGTTTTCTTTTACCATCTACAAGCTAACCGAAAAAAGAAATATTTCGGTAGGCGGTTTTCTTGCATCCTGCATACGTGACCAGCACATCTTAAGCGGTATTTAGTAATCATGACTTCGGAACTATCGCAGCTAGCCATTTTAAAGATACGTTTGAGACATGGTGGTACCATTTAATTCTTAATAGTTGCCTAAGGTGTCTCTGTTACAACTTGTTTAAGGCTTTTATGTGGCGGTGGTACAACAACCAAGTTTCAGTTTGCGCATGCATGAGCATTTTAGTTCAGCGCAACTATATTTCGAGTTCTGTTAATATAAAAAGTTTTGGAAGTGTAGGTATTTTCTTATACTCCAATGTGTTAAAAACAATCACAATCATTTTGTGAGAGATTAACCAATAACCCGTTTTTTTTTGTTTTTTACCTTTGACTTGTTATTTGCAATTAAAATTGTTTTTAACTGAATAGCTGAAAGTAGAGATAAATTTACTTACCATTGAAATATATCTCTTTACTAGGATGAATTATTTGACCCTTAAGTGGCAAAAACACAAATGGAATATAGTGTGATGTCGATCCACCTACAAATGGAGCCAGTCCACATTCTGAAAACAAACAAAATTATTATTATTATTATTCTCATCCGCTTAAACTACTTAAATACTAATAATTTAATTGATTATTGTGAATCAATTTAGTTTAATTATAACGAGATTTTTCTGTAGAGAAAACTTCTAATTATCACTCTGTAAGTAGATATTACATTATAAAGTTTAGACCGGTAAAAAATAAAAATGTACAGTTGAAATTTAAATTAAATGACACCGTTACATAAATAAAAAGAAGTGTTTATAACTATCTATTTTTATTGAAGTTCTTTATGTAATTAAATATTCTTAAGTATACAATTATTAAACATAAAGTTTTTATTGTAGCAAATAAAAAGCAGTACCGTATGATTGAATTAGAAAAAAGATTACAGTTTTATTTTTATCATCAAATAAAGATCGAAAATGAAAAAGAAAAAGGTTGAAGGAAAAGAAAGCAAAATAAGTATGAACAAAAATGAACAGGTCTGTTGTTTTAAGCTAAAAAGCGGTTCAAAGCTGTTCAAAAGCTGTTCAAAGCGGTTCAAACTTGTTTATTCTTGTTTATTAGCGTATTTTACATGTTCCTAGCGCATGCGCAGTGCGTCACCGCCACCGCCACCACCAGGTAAACCTCAATCAAACCTGATGGTGAAACCCCCGTCTCCCTCTACTATGGATGAATAAGGTTTTAAATGCAATAAATATAAAACATAGTTTTTTGTTTAAATATTAGTTAATATTGCATTTTACTTCCAAAAAATTAAGCTCGTTTTGACAGATTATGTGTGCACTATGTGCGCATATTTGAAGTGAAACTTCCGTCTGTCCCTCTGTTGGACTCCATTCGGGTACCTCTATCCACGTGCCGAGTTTGGTTCCAATCGACCCATAATAATTAAGAAAAATCCTGATGATTTTGTCCATTTAGGGGCATCGATCGATTCGAAACGTCGCGTCGATCGGGCGTCATCTTCTAGCCCATCCCAATTATGCCGAAATCGACCCACATTTTTCTTCAATATCAAATCTTTAGTCCAACCCTGATGAAGATGTAAACGAAACGTCGTATCCAACTTTGCAGGATGGGACCGTGTGCACCGTTGCTTACATAGCCTACCCTTATATTAAGATCCTACCCACCAAATTTGGTCGCGACCGGACATCAACTTTTGATGTTTCTTACGTCAAAACTAACGGTCACAGTGACATGTGTCATACACGGTCAAGTTAACCTTGACCCAATCTATCGACATACCAAATTTCATTTAATTCGGACGATTCTTACTACGAACTCTTTTTCCTTGTTTTTTTTTCTGTCCTTACCACTTTTCCTTTCGTGTGTCGTGTCGTGTCGTGTCATGGCCTTGAATTTTTACTCCCAGCTCGCGTAAAGAAGTTTCACTTAAAAAATATCGAAATAAACTTAATCAGATAATAAACTCGGTCAAGAAAGATTTTTATAAGAAAGAAAAGCTCTTTTAAACGAGCCCTAGTTTGTTTATATAGGCCTAAACCAGAGTTATCCTTATTTTAATAAAAGCAAGTTTAACCGTCCCCCACCACTTTATTTTATGAGATAGAGCAAAATACTCTATATCAAAAAAATTACAAATTTCTCGGTTGTTACAATATAGTAATTTTTAAAATATCTGTTCACCTGCATATTTTTGAGAAAACCCCTATTTTCTGATTGGCTATCAGAGAAGCGCCCCCTAGTGGACATTATTCGAACTTGAAAATAATTTCCAGCAATTTCTCTTAGTCGATTTATTTATTAGAATTTTTTTCTCAAAGTTATGCGATAAGTAGGTTCTGAGATACAGCCGGCGTCCATTCATAGTTGGCCACCCGGTACATTACGCTATTTCTAAAGATCCTAGTAAATTTATTCTTATATATTTAGGGACTTTACTATTTCGCGGTTATCACAACACCTATCGGCATTTTCGAGAATTAATGTACGTGTCACTCGCGCCAATCTTGTTCTGTTTTTACTCAAAGCACCTAATTACGAACTGACTAGAACAAGATCGGAACAGATCGATCCACGAGCTATCTGTATTTTACGCCGCCTAATGTCTCAAACACTCTGCAGTCTGCTATGGCTGCGGGTTTACTGTTACAGATTATGTATACACGTTATCGTAATTGGCGGTTTTGAGAATCTATAACTGGCCACAAAATAGAAAAAGTGTATTAAAAAATATGATAGATTGTATAAGACTGGCAGCAGTTTGAAACACTTCTAGTATTTTACCTTTGAATATAAAGACTAAGGAGGAGTCAAGTATTAAGGAGTATAATATTCAAGCATTTGAGACGGAATCGACATCATTAGCCTCCATTTTTGACAGTTTTATTTGACACATTTGAATCATAGATAAAAGAAAATAATCTACTATTAAGAATTTATTATTATTGCATTTGAATTCGATTTGAAATTTTGCGGATTACATTGCCGGTTTTTCGTTTTTCTGAGCTCATTTTATGTTGTGCAGGGTTCTGTAGTGTGCATCTTAAAATTTTGATGTATTTTAAAAAACTTTATATTGTGTTCTAGTTGACCGATTTTGATGATTTTTTAAGCAATTTGTAGCCAAATTATTTGACTTTTAGTATCTCTTTTTAAATTAAAAATGAAAGTTTCTGTCAATTCATCTGTCAATTATCGAGGGAAAACAAAATGTTGATATTTTGGTGAAAGTTTGAAACCTCCTGTGGAATATGTTAACAAAGCAAATAATTTAAAACTTTATAGTCTAGATGCATCTTTCTCAATAGTTTGTTGTTTGGTTCATCTCAATAGCTTTATTTTTGTTAGAGATATTCGCTTTTGAAGAAGACGCTAATGTTTTTTCCTATTCTTTAAATTAAAACAATGCATTTGCTTTTGGTCCTAGTCAACAGACCTGTGAAATAGTGTTTATGATTTATATAATGTCACTGTCACTGAAAAATAATATTATTATTGTCTGTTGGCGCAGTTACTCTAGCGAGAGTAAGAGAGTGTTTTAAATTCAGAAGTTGTGTCCGCTCTAGTTGCTTTAATTGAAGATGTTTGACATCAAAATTAACTAGATTGACTACCACACAGCCCAGTTGTGTTTACTTTTTTCTTAATTTAATCGGTAACTCTATTTTATTATCAGAATAAAAATTAGGAAACAATGTTAATGTCTTCTTGAAAAGTGAATATCTCTAACAAAAATAAAGCTATTGAAATGAACCAAAAAACAAACTGAGTCGAGCACCTAGATCATAAAAGTGATTTCTAAATTATTTGCTTCGTTAACATATTTATATAATATATAATATTTATATAATATATATAATTTTAAGGTATCCGTTTTTCCTGCCGGTGAGTGTATTATTGTCAAAAATAATTGGATTTTATGTCAATTTGACTTAGCTATTTTCGTAGCCTATCTGGTATTTCTGTTATTAAATAATTATTATATAAATAATTATACTTTATTTCTAATTTCATATAGCTGGACAGATCAAAGTCATGGTTTTCATGACAGCAGGCAGCAGATGTTTGCATACAAAAATTAGGGAAGGAGTAAGGAGTATAATTATGTTATTATATTCAATCGTTAGTTCATTAGAGACAGGATCGACATCATCAACTCCCATTTTTGACAGTTCTGTTAAACATTTCAATTGACACATTTGAATTTGGTTTGAACATTCATGGATTTGTTGGGCTTTTTTGACCTGATTTTATGTTATTTATTATTTATTCTACAATATTGGTTTCATTCAGAGGTAGCAAATCTAGAAGGATATTGTGGCAACACTAACACTTAAATTAATGACATTGTTGCGAATTTTGCATAAAAACTGTAAAATAGTTAGTTGTATAGGGTGCAAAAATCAAGAGAAATAACATAATAACTTTTTCTAATAACTATACCATATGTTTCGTGTAGTAAACAAATGCATTATAAAATTTACATAGAATTAACTAATTATATATTTTGATTTGCATTTTTGCTATTGATTATTTTTTGTCAAAAATATATTTAGGGTACGTCTATTTGATTTAGGTATTTAAGGAGCGTATATCTGGTATTTTCGATATTAAATAATTATTACTATAACTTATCTATTCTTATTAGATTGTTCTATATCCATTTATTCTCGATCTCTTTCTCTCTAACATACAATGTATGTATCTGTTTTTATTTAAATTTAAGGCTTTTGTTTTAAGCGGGTGAAATTGCACCACTAAAGGTTCGTTTGACAAATAGGCGGCAAATCGGTTCGTTTTAAAAGCACTGATTGCCTGATTTGTTAGCAAATTCGAATGTTTCACGCTTTGGAATTTCGTGAAACCAGCTGCTTCAACTCAATTGACTGCTCAATCGTTCGTTTGAAAAGCACTGATTGCCTGATTTGTCAGCAAATTCGAATGTTTCACACTTTGGAATTTCGTGAAACCAGCTGCCGAGCCAGCTGCTTTAACTCAATTGACAGCTCAATCGTTCGTTTGAAAAGCACTGATTGCCTGATTTGTCAGCAAATTCGAATATTTCACACTTTGGAATTTCGTACCAGCTGCCGAGCCAGCTGCTTTAACTCAATTGACAGCTCAATCGTTCTCTAATACTATCAATACTAGAGATAGCTATAAAACATTTAAATAATCCAATGCAAGTTAAAAATCAGATTTAAAATCTGATTAAGTTATTCTAACATTATACATACCAAACAAACAGGCGGAAAAAAATGATAGTTTTTAATAAACAATGCAGGCGAATAATTACTGCTATTGTATTTTAGTTTTTTATTTTTTTATGTTGTTTTTAGTTAATGTCTTAATGTCTCCACTTCAGTTATTTTGTGTTGAAATAATATTTTGAAATACAAATAAATCAGCTTAAAATGAGTATTATATTATTCTATATCCCCTTATTTTGTTCTATGTCTCTAAAATCGGCTCAATGCACAGCTAATAGACACATTTGTTACAATCTAAAATCACTAATATCTTTTAAATAAAGTTTCTAAAA